TCCTGTAGGTCTCTCTTTCAAGAAGTATCTTCTGTTCTTCTAGCCACTCCAGGCTGATTTGCTCGTTCTTTTAAGTGGGCGTTTCCCATCTCTGGAGATCTGGATGTGGTTCAGGCTTCTACCTATAGTCTTATGTATTGCAAAGGCTCCGCAGGAAGCCTCATTCCCTGGGCACTTTGTAGCCCCATTTTAGGTATTCCAATCAGTTATAGGCAGAAGACAGACTTACAAACTTTCTACGGTGATGTTTCTGACTATTCCTTTCTCTCCCCCTCCAGTGTCTATTTTATATTATAATGGAAGGAAAACCAAGATTCAAAAAACTGCCGAGCATCTTAACATTATTCCCCCCTTTTCCCCATTCCAACCATGAGACAATCTCTGTATCCCAGAGCTCTGTAGTTCCAAGATTGTGCATACATCATTCTTTATCTGTCCCACTTAGCCCATTCAAACATGCCCAATTGTTCTCCCATCTGTTCCGTTCTTCCGTTTCCCTCTCCCTCCTTGTACATTGCTCCCCTCCCCAGCACCCAAACTTTCCTGTGACCAACTAATTTTTAAGTTATAATTTTGTATAGCCTGTGATAATTTTATATAGCCTTGTATAGCCAATGATGTTACAAATTTTGGGAGAAAAAAAAGGCTCTCCTCCTTTGGCCTAGAGCGAACACAGTGGCTCTTTACAATAAGCACTGGACTGTGAACCACAAGGTCAGTGGTTCGACCCACTAGCTACTCCTCAGGAAAAATATACCACATTTTGCTCCAGCAGAGATTCTGTCTCATAGTGAGCCTGTATGGGGTTTCCAAAGAGCAGCTGATGAGTGTGAACTGCTGACTACCTTTAGTTCAAACGGACCTAGTGGTTGAGAGCTCAAACTACAGTCACACCAGACTCCAGGGACCCCTTTACAAGGTCACTATGACTTGGAACCAAGTCAACAGCAGTTTAATAAGAAAACAAGAGACCCAGTAACTGAAAAATTTGCATTATGCAAATCTGCAAAAGACCTCTTTAAAGTTTTCAAAATAAAAAAATGACACTTTGCTGATGAAGGTGTGTCTCACCAAGCAAGGGTCTTTTCCAGCTGCTTCATTAACATGTAAATGATAAACAGGGAAAAGGAAGACAGAAGAGTAGATGCATTAGCAAAATGTATTGAAAACACCATGGGCTGCCACAAGAAAGAACAAATCAGTCTTAGGAAACGCACAACTAGAATAATTCTTAGAAGCAAGAATGGTAAGACTTTGACTCACTTACTCTGGACACAAAGGAGCTCTGGTAGCATAGTGGTTACGAATCGGGCTGTGAACCTTAAGGTCAGCGGTTCGAAACTACCAGCTGCTCCGCGGGAGAAAGATGAGGCTTTCTACTCCCGTAAAGATTTACACCCTCGGAAACCCTATACAGGGTCGCTATGGGTCGGAACCGACTAGATGGCACATAACAACAACAACAACTCTGGACACAGGAAAGACCAACAGTCAGAAAAAGTATGTCAAGTGTGAGTAAATGAGCAAAACCTTTAATAGGGCACTGATACAATAGTTATAACAATTCAAAAAGACCAATGATCATGAAGATGGCACAGAACCAGAAAATGTTTTGTTCTGTTATACATCAAGTTACCATAAGCTGAGTCCATAACAATATGAAAAATTCAATATGGAAGTCATATTGAGACTGCTGAACATGGTGGTGGTTATGTGCCGTGGAGTTGGTTCCGACTCATAGCAACCCCTGCATAGGATTTCCGAGGCTGTAAATCTTTATGGGAGCAGAAAGTCTCATCTTTCTCCCGTGGAACAGCTGGTAGTTTGAACTGTAGACCCTGAGGTTAGCAGCCCGATTCATAACCACTTCGTTACCAGAGACTACCGAATAGAGGTACCCAGCTATACTTTTTTCACCCTGATTATGAACAAGTGTTGCCCTTTGCTTCACACTAATTTTCAACCCTAGGTGCACACTGAAATCACCTGGAGAGGCTTTAATAAAATGCTCAGCCCAAACCAATTAAATCAGAACCTGGGGGTAGGGAGCAAACACATTTATAAAATTCCCCAGGTGAATCTATAGTGGAGTCAGAGTGGAGAGTCTTCTTTTAAACCTCTTTATCAAAATAGTAATTAGCTTTCTCTCTACATTCTAATTTTCTTTTAAGCAGTCTCTATCTGTAATAAGAAATAGTTAAATATCCCTCAGCTCCAATTTAAGCAGGAACTTCCCAACACCAGGACATTTGCAAAAACAAAAAGAACAAAGTAGATTTAAATTGCCTGTAAATTCTTGGGGATATTTAATAAGATTCTGTTTAAGCTAATAGCTTAGACTTTATATTGTATACTCTCAAGTAATATTAATTCAAATACATGTAGCAAAAAAAATTTTCCATAAAAATTAAAAATTTTAAAGTTAAATCAAATATAAGAATAAATGTATTCTTATGTATAAAGTGATTATCACTTTGTAATAATACTAAAAAATAACTGTATGGTTATTAATCACCATAAATACTTAATCAAATTTAATACCAAGCAACCACTAAAAGAAAAATTAGCTCTGAATTCTTAAACTCAAGAATTTTAAATGAATGGAAAGTGGGATGAAAAGGAAAAAAAAACATGTCAGATATGGGCAAAGCCAAGTCTTCACACTCTGCAAAATGTTCTTAATCTGGAGATTACAAAATGTTTAGAGAAAAGGGAAAAGAAAAACAAAACTGAACTTGGAGGACACAGTTTCATTCTTTTGCACACATTCTTCCTTCCTGGTGAGGGAAGTGTCTACCGGGGGCAGCAGGAGAATGACACCAACGCAGAAGGGCAGGGGATCGTGTGAGAAGACTCAGCTGGTATTTAGGAAGTCCACTCTCCAGGGTGCAGTCCCAATCTAGCAAAACATTATTGACAAATCGTGGGAAAGACACTTCGACTATGTTGTAGTTCCCTGAGAAACATAGGGATAAAAGTGACCATTTATGTTGTAATGTCACATTAACATCACATGTTAAATCATGATTACATGTGGGTACAGTGGGGTACAGAGAAACTATAAGGGCTGAAGGCAAATTGCCAGGTAATAGTGTCTTACTGTTGTTAAGTGTCGTAGAGTGGGGTCTGACTCATAGTGACTCTGTATAGGGTTTTGAAGGAGCAGCTGGTGAATCTGAACTGCTGAACTTGCAGTTCAAACTGACGCTGGGGTCCAGTGCCTGATCCCAAAGCACCACACCAGGACTCCAATAGTGTCTACGTTGTTGTTGTTAAATGCTGTTGAGTCATTTCCGACTCCTAGAGACCCTGTATAGGGTTTCTGAGGAACGGCTGGTGAGTTTAAACCACTGATCTTTCAGTTCAAACCAACCTTGAGGTCAACTGTTTATCCTAGGAAACCACACAAGGACTCCAATTGTGTCTATAGAGGGGTTAGAACACGAAGCTTAGTTCAGCGAGCTGAAAAGTTATAAATATATAAATAAATAAATTATTTTAAAACCCCACCTAGAAGCTATAAAGAAAGTGGAAAAAAGCTAAGTCAAGATGAAGAATGAGCAGCCTATTGATGAATGCTTCAGACGAAGAAACAAAAATGAAATTGAAGAATATTGTTGCTGTTGTTAAGTGCCGTCGAGTTGGTTCCGACTCATAACAACCCTGTCTAGGGTTTCTGAGGAGCAGCTTGTGGGATCGAACCACCAACCTTGCGGTTCAAACTGACCTTGTGGCCCAGTGTACTATCCTGCAGTGCGACAGAGGTGTCAGTCTTAAAGTCAGAGCAGACAGGTAACTCGACCCCATTTATTCTGCTATAGAATTACTGAGAATCTGGGCAAATGCACAAAACTAATTATGAAAAAATACATATGGTGAGTTTCAAAAGACTGTGAAACAATTCATACAAATTATTATAAATAATTCCACAGAAATTAGTCTTTAATGCTCAGAAATGAAAGATGTGCTATTCAGTTCTAAAGGAGCTCTGGTAGCGTAGTGGTTACGAATCGGGCTGCGAACCTTAAGGTCAGCAGTTCGAAACTACCAGCCGCTCCGCGGGAGAAAGATGAGGCTTTCTACTCCCGTAAAGATTTACACCCTCGAAAACCCTGTACAGGGTCGCTATGGGTCGGAACCGACTCAACGGCACTTAACAACAACAACATTCAGTTCTAAACAAATCAAGCCACAAGCAAACAAAAACACAATAACCAGCTCCAGTCTAGTCAGTTTTGACTCCTAGTAATACCTGTGTGTCAGCAGACTAAAACTGTACATCACAGGGTTTTCTATGCCCAATTTTTCAGAAAGAGATTGCCAGACCTTTCTTCTAAGGTACCTCAGGTTATTCTCCAACCTCCACAGTTTTGGTTAGCAGCCAAGCATGTTCACTGTTTGCACCACCCAGGGACTGGCTCCATTAATGTCTAAGTCTTGGCTTATTGCTTAATGTAAATTAAAATTACAAAATGGTTCATAACATTTTTTTTTTTTTTGGTTCCATCTTGATCTCTCTCAAGAAAAGTAAAATGTCCTAAATTTTGAACTTTAATCTATTGCCCTAAATGCAATCTGACAACTAGATTTTCAAGACAAGGTGGAGACGCAGAAACAAAAGGAAAAAGCAAAATTCAAATAAGGCCTACGAAGAAAATTAATAACCTTAACTAGAACTCATGGAGTCCTGGTGTGGCACTGCACAATAATGCACTGGATCACAAGGTCAGTGGTTGAAACCTACCAGCCACTCCTCGGATATCCTTTACATGGTTACTATGAGTCCTAAGTGACTTGATAGCAAGCACTAAACAACAACAAGAGCTCTTAGTTTTTTGACCACTTATTAATAAAAAGAAAGGGCCTGAAAACACCACTTAACAGCATTAATTTTACAAAAGTAACCTGAGAACAAATCTATTTTCTCCAGTTCTTTTTGTGAAGTTGAGTATATTCTTCCTGTCTGACTTCCATGTAATGGCTGAAAGGAGTTACTGTACCTGCAACCAAAGTCTGTCACTAGCCACGGTACTTCCAACGGCACTGCACTGGAACGTGGCAAACTGGCCGGCATTCACTTCCACATTCTGAATCCGCAGGAAATGAGGAGTTCTGGCTACATAGAGAAAAGAAATAAGATATGAAAAATAGAGATCCCTAACAAAAATATGTCTTTTTGAAGCTTTCTGCAATTTTAGAACTTTTCATATTGTTTACCTTTGGAGAAAATAGTATTTTTTATTATAAAAGTATTAAACATTTCACTGTAATTGTAAAACTGTCATGGAAGGTTCTGGCATGTTCTGTAAAGGAATAAAAATGTGAAGTATTCTGGGATCGAACCAAACAGAAAGAACATTTTGTATTGTTCCTGCTGTGTAAATTTTCACAGCTCAGCAGTCTTCTTATAATAACAGATCTGTATTAATGAAGATTATACTGAACCCTAATTGATGTTTTGAACAAAAACATATGAGATATTTATACTAGCAACATGAAAAGAACAGTAAGAAATTAAATGATGTTGCCAAGCAAACTTTGTAACTCAATGACAGAGCTTTTCATAATATATGTTTTAATACAACTAATTGGTATGAAACATTGTATATTTTCCATCTACCAAAAAATATTATCTCTCTAGACAAACTCTGAAATTAGAATGGGATCGCCATGGCATGGCAGTTTTTGTTGACCGTTATTCTAATTTCAAGAAGTAAACATGGGTCCAGCATTAAATCTTATAATGTACATTGTCCATATAGGGTACCTGACTAAATAAAGGAAAATTCTACTTGTCTTGAAAAGTCCAGACCACATTTTGCCATACAATGGAAACATGTGCCTAGGAACTGGAATGACAGGTCAGAACTGAAATTTAAGTGGCAATCTCTACTTTTAGGAAGAGCATTGTCCTTTTACCATAATGACAGAGTGAAAGACCAGCAAGGGTGGAAGAGGTGGATCATAAACAGTAAAGGAAGAGTACAGAGTGACCTTATTTTCTAGAAGAGACAGATTAATATGGACAACACCTAGAGTACCTTTGTAGTAGCTTTGTCAACTTCTCACCATAGCCCTTATGTCCCAATGTCAAGTCTAGACTCTATTCAAATACACTTGTTGTTGCAGAATGTCCTTGAGTTGCTTCTGACTCTTGCAACCCTGTATAGGGTTTTCAAGAAGCTACCAATGAGTCTGACCACTGACCCTGGTGTTCAAACCAAGCTTGAGGTCCACTGCTTATCCTACAGCGCCACATGGACATCAATTTACACTATGCCTATACCAGTGGAAAAAAAGAAGACAGGTGAGTGAACACTACTCTGCCTGAATTGAATAATCATACAAGAGCAGAGCTGAGCTAGTTCAGATGAATTCTAAGGTATCTGATGCTCCTTGTCTACATAGAGAAGAACACACACTTAGCATTTGTCAAGTTGAAAGAACTAAAAAAATATTCAAACCTCGGGTAGCAACATTGAAGGATTCTATGGGCAATGTGTGGCGCTGTGGGCTAATGTGTCAGATTGCAAAGCCATTTGAACTGCAAGGTTGGTGGCTCAAGCTCACCAGCTGCTCCTTGGAAACCCTACACAGAGTCAAGATGGGTCGGAATCAACTCGACGGTACTTAACAACAACAAAAAATGGGCGAAATGCATCAAAAGACAATGGAACGAATTCACAGAGTCGCAGTACTGAAAAGGGATGATCAACATTCAACCACTTCAAGAGGTAACATATGATCAAGAACCAATGGTAATGAAGGAAGATGTCCAAGCTGCAGTGAAAGTATTGATGAAAAACAAGGCTCCAGGAATTCACAGGATACAAATTTAAATCTTCCCACAAACTGATGCAGTACTGGAGGTGCTCATTCCTTTATGCCAAGAAATTTGGACAACTGATTGGGAAGAGATCCATATCTGTGCCCATTCCAAAGAAAGGGACCCAACGGTCTGTGAAAATCAGCTAACAGTGTCATTAATATAACAAGCAAGTAAAATGTTGCTGAAGATAATTCAAATATTGTTGCAACAGTACATTAGCAGAGAACTGCCAGAAATTTAAAAGAGGACATGGAAGGAGGATATCATTGCTGATGTCAGATAGATGTTTGTTAAAAGCAGAAAATACCAGAAATATGTTTACTTGTACATTATTGACTACACAGATCTAAAGATAATGATAATATTGTGAAGAATGTGTATTCATTAGGAACCTGTACATAGAACAAGAGGTAATTGTTAGAACACAATAAGGGGATACTGAATGGTTTAAAATCAGGAAAGGTGTGCACCAGAGTTGTATCATTTCACCATATTATTCAGTCTGTACACTGAGTAAATAATCTAAGAAACTAGATTATATGAAGAAGAACATGGCATTAGGATTGGAGGAAGACTCATTAACAACTTTTGGTATGCAGATGATACAACCTTGCCTAACAGAAGTGAAGATAAGTTAAAATTCTTACTAATGAATGTCAAAGACTACAATCTTCTTCATGGAATGTAGCTCAATGTAAAAAAAAATCCTCACAACTGGACCAATGAATAACTATATAAATGCAGAATATATTGAAGTTGTCAAAGAGTTCATTTGGTTTGGATCCACAATTAATACTCATGGAAGAAACAATCAAGAAATCCAATGACATATGTTGTTGTTGTTAAGTGCCATCAAGTCGGGATTCGACACATAGTGACCCAGTACAGGGTTTCCAAGGAGCAGCTGGTGAGTTAGAACTGCCAGCCTTAACAGCCCACACCAACGTTGGAGTTTACCGCATTAACCGGCAATGCCACACCAGCACTAGGCAAATCTGCTGCACAAAACCTTTCTTTCAAGTATTCAAGAGCAAAGATATAGTTTGAAGACTATAGTTCACCTTACCCAACTCATCTTATTTTCAATCATCTCATACACATGTGAAAGTTTGACACTGAATATGTGTGCCGCCTCAGGATAAGCGCTGGGCTGCTAAACAGAGTCAGACTTTCAAACCCACCAACCTCTTCTCAGAAGCCCTGTACAGGGTTGCCATAAGTCAGAACGGATTTGAAGGCACTTAACAATAACAACATCATATATATGTGAAAGTTCAACAAAGAATAGGGATAACCATAGAAGATTTGATGCATTTGAATTAACATGTTAGAAAAGTATATTACAAGTACTGGGACTACCAGAAGAAAAATCAAATCTTGGCTGGAACCAGTATAGCCAGAATGCCCCTTAGAAGCCAGGATGGTAAAACTTCATCTGTTATACTTCAGCAGGGAAATTTATAGAAATAAAGTGCTGTTGTGGTTAGGTGCCGTTGAGTTGATTACAACTCACAGCAATCCTGTATAGGGTTTCTGAGGTGTAGCTGATGGGTTTGAACCACAGACCTTGTGGTTAGAAGTCTAGTGCTTATCCTAGAGTGCCATATCAGAAATAAACTAGTCCACATTAAAAAAGAAGAAAGACTCCAGATCAAGAGGTTAACTCTGTAACCTGAGGAATCAGAACAGACACTCAATGTCATTGCTGTTGTTATTGTGTATCAGTGCCATCAAGTCTGTTCTGATTCATAGTGACCCTGCACAGGGTTACCAAGCTTTTTAAATCTTCCCGGGAGCACAAAGTCTCATCGTTCTCCCACAGAGCAGCGGGTGGATTCGGACTATCAACCTGGGTGGTTCACAGTCAAGTGCATATTTTATGGAGCAAGGCAAACCAAAACCACAATCAATTAATTATACACCTCACCCCTGTTACAATGAAAAAGATGAAAACAAATGTAGAACCGGAGGTGTTGGTAAGACTGTAGAGAAACTGGAACCCTGATATATTACTGTATGCAAAATGGTGCAGCTACTGTTAAAAACAATTTGTCACTTTCTTAAAAAGTTGAACATAGGATAATCATACAACCCAGCAATCCAAACTTCGGTGTATACCCAGAAGTAAAAAAGGAACACAAACAGAAATCTGTACATCAAAGTTCAATGCAGCACTTTTCACAATATCTACAAAGTAGAAATAATCAGAATGGCCATAAACAGATGAATGGAGAAACAAAATGTGTTACAAAAGGGCTTCAAAGGGTTTATGGAAAAATCTCACTATCTTTTAATTCCACAAACTTTTAGAAGATCCCTCGTATACATACACAATGAAATACTGCTGTTGTTGTTGTTAGGTGCCATCAAGTTGGTACCGACTCATAGCAATCTTATGTACAACAGAGCAAAACACTGCCCAGTCCTGTGCAACCTCACAATCATTGCTATGCTTGAACCCACTGCTGCTGCCACTTGGCCAATCCATCTTGTTGAGGGTCTTCCTCTTTTTCACTGACCCTCTACTTTACCAAGCATGATGTCCTTCTCCAGGGACTGGTCCCTCCTGATAATACGTCCGAAGTATGAGAGACGAAGTCTGGCCATCCTGGATTCTAAGGAGCATTCTGGCTGTACTTCTTCCAACACAAATTGTTTTTTTGGCAGACGATGGTACTTTTGATAATCTCCTGCAACATCATAATTCAAATGCATCAATTCTTCTATGATCTTGTTTATTCATTGCCCAACTTTCACATTCATATGAGATTATTGAAAATACCATGGCTTTGGTCAGGCACACGTTAGTCCTCAAATTGACATCTTTATTTGAACACCTTTAGTACCACGCACATCTGCCTAATGCAACGTATCCTTTGATTTCTTGACTGCTGCTACTACAAGTGTTGATGGTTAATCTGAGCAGAATTTAGTCTTTGAAAAATTCAGTTTTTCCCCCATTTATATGGATGTTTTTTATTGGTCAGGTGGTGAGGATTTTTGTTTCCTTTGAGGTGCAAGCCGTACCAAAGGCTGTGGCCTCTGATCTTCATCAGTAAGTATTTTAAGTCTTCTTCTCTTTCAGCAAGCTAGGGTGTATCATCTACGTATCACAGGTTATTAACGAATCTTCTTCTAATCCTGATGCTATGTTCTTCTTCATTTTTTCCCCCAGTTTCTCAGATTAATTGCTCAGCATACAGCTAAATAAGTATGGTAAAAGAATACAACCCTGTTACACACTTTTCCAAATGTTTAACCATGCAGGGTTCCCTTGTTCCATTTTG